ATGTTTATCTGCATGCCTGTACCACACACTACCACACTCTCTTGGTTATCATAGATTTGCATTTGTCTTTGAAAGTAGGAAGTGTTTCTTCCACTTTACTTCTTTATTTTAAGATTGGTTCAGCTATTTCTTTTAAATTTATTTCTTTTTTATTCTTTTGGGTGGGTATTTCCTTATGTTGCCCAAGCCAGACTTGAAATCCTTGTCTTAATTGATCTTCCAGCCTATGCTTTCAGATTAGTTGGGACTATGAGTGTCACCAGAAGTTCAATACTTGTGCCTGACTGCATCAGAAGAACAAAGACAGGGTTCTGAAGAGAAGGAAAAGGAGGTTTATTAATTTGCTGACAAATGAGGAGGACGGAGACTCTTGTCTTGTAATGCCAGCTTCCTCTCTATTAGCATAAATACAGAGGTTTTAAAGGGAGGGTATTCATCTTCAAGGTATTGCTATTTAACAACAGTTGATTGCTATTATCAATCCCATCTCGAGCAAAGACAATCTCATGACCTCTCCTGGGCCATTTCCATTGAGCCAAGTCCTCTAGTACAAAGAAAAAAAGACACTTCCCTGTGCCTCCTGACTACTGGTTTGGGGCAGGCATGGAGGTTTTAATTCTCAAAAAGAGTCGGGGAGGTTTTAAAGAGACCTGTTGCAACACATTTCAACGGTTCTCGGTCTTTCCCTGTTACATATTCCCTACTGTCAAATATATCCTTCCGTATCTATGGGAGGAGGGGTGACATAATCATCAACCTACTTCCTGCTGAATGGGGTGATGTTTTAGATGAAAGGTTTATGTTTATTTATGTAATTGCAAAGCTTTGGCAGTAGATTTATAAAAATAAAGAATGCCACAATTGATCAAGTGACAAATGGCATAAGGAACAACTACAAACATGAGGATTGACAAGGTGACATGGAGGATACCTGATAAGAGAGATTTTACGCCGCTTGGTGTCTAAGATACTAGTAGGATTGTGAGTCCTTGCTGTCACCTGGTACATAACATCTGATAGCGGGAGGGGCAAGTAGAAGACAAGGCTTCTCTGAGTGTGGAGCTATTTATTGCACCCTGTAGGTGATCCGAGAAACCATTTCTAAAAATTCAGCCATCATAGACGAGAACAAATTCACCAACTGAGGTCTAGGATGACAAACCCAGCTGTGAGACAGATCAGGAGAAGAGAAAATAATCCAGGGAAATCGTCACTAAGGACTTGTATCTCCATCTGATACACAGAACAAATTAACAAAAGAAAGATCAGTGAAAAGATCAACATTTTCATTTTTCCCTGTTCTTCAACAGGTACATTAGATCACCTAAAGGCTGGCACATCCACCGGGACTTGGGTCCCCTTCTTCCATGGGACACCTCTTTATTATGCATGATCAGGCCTAGATCTAATTACTCCCTTTTGTTCTTCTTTCCTGCTGTAGCAAACATCCGGCAAAAAAACAGACAACATTTTGTGATGATGAACACAACAGTTGCCACACAGGCCAGCAGGAACCCAATCACATCCAGAGAGTGGTACTGGAACCAGGTGAGGTCGTGGGCTGCAACCCGAAGGTGTTTGG